AAAGAAAGGAACATACTACGTGCTGTTGCTTTGTGACGAATGTTGAAACGAGAAAGAAACGGAAACGGAAATAAGGCAAGGAAAAGGGAAAGGCAAGAGAAGGGGAATAAGAAAGGAAAAGGGGGAAAGAGAAAGACAGGAAAAGAGACGGGAAAAGAAGAGGAGAGAAAAAAGATACGGAAGACGGAAAGATGGTAAAATTTTAGTAGAGAGCCGTCTACCAAACATCGATTTCGATGAATAGAAGGCGAGCAGTCTATAAATGCAGCGGTGCATGCTGGGCTATACTACAGTATAGTACGCATCGTATCGTAGTACACGCTAGTTACAGCGGCGCGGCGTTTCGTTTGCTGCTCATAGGCTGCCGCCATTGTTTCCAGAAGCGAGCAAACGAACAAACAGACTCGCAAAAGTTTTAAAGTTGGAGCACAGTAGCGTAGCGTCCAATCTCTCCAGTTGTCGGTGTGAACTATTTAAAAATTACGAAGAAGAAAAGTTAAAAGCAGCACGTGTTCCACGTGTTAAATACTTTTATTTATTCTCCAACGCATTCGCGTGAAAAAAAGCAAAAAGTTTCTACTCTACGCGACTAGTGTGTCTTCGGAGCAGAGAACAAGTCAACGTTCGACGTTTTAGTTGAAGCTTTTGCAATCGACGATGCTCGTTCAACGACGTGTTTGACGCGTACGATGATAGCGATGATGCTAACGAAAAGAGTGACGTGTTATTCTTTCACGGTAAAGTCGATGAAAAACGGCCTGCCGATAGACACTCCGATCGCGTTTAACGCGTTCCTTTGATCGCAGGTTAATTAATTAATCATCGAATTAATTGTCGCGAGGCGAGATCTTGGACTCGTCGGGGAAAAAATCGAACAAATCACCGTGTGTGCGAACTACGATGATCCCTCGTCTTCTTTTCGTTGCTGTAAAAATTGTTGTTTACGTGCTACCGATAGAATCTCCTCGTAACCGTTGATCGTAACCGGTAGATATCTTCGGATAAATTCAAACGATCTGCTCCATGAACCAGTTGGCTTTCCATCAATCAAATACTGGGTTTCAATCGCGCGTCATTGGGCGATGCTTTCCGAGATCGTTCGTTCTCTTCGAATCGCCTTTGCATCTACCATGCCGGATATACAAACAAGGTTAGTGTTGCCAATGATGACGATGACGACAAGCGTCAACCAGTCAATGACGAGTCGAATCGTCCAAAGACCCGAATTATCGCGTTCCTTCGTACATACTACTTTGTACATTATACGCGGCGATTACGACGACGACGACGACGACGACGACGACGTTCAGTACGGATCAACATTACGAACGAGCAGGGAAAGAAATTACGAAGGTGGAAAATTCACGTCGAGAATAGAAGTGAAATTACAAGACGGAAAGAAACGTAGAAATTATAAAGTTGGACGGACGGTAAATCCCCGGACGAAGTAACAAACAAATGCGGGAAGGAAATCAGACGAGATGAAGGATTAGAACGTTAGAACGGCGCGGATCGGTGTCTCGTCGCGTATCTCGTCGAACGACGTATAGGGTGGAACGTATAGGGTGGAAAGTGAACGGCGCGCACGAGGTTCGCGGTAAAGGGAGAGCGAACGTTCGTCGAGCGAAACCGATCGGGACACGTGTACTTTGCTAAATAATGCATATTTCGCGGAGTTGCTTCTTTCGTGGATGCTTCTCGCAGTTCCGTCAAGCCCTTTACGTACGTCTCTTTCCTTTGCCGTGTTTTGTCGTGTTTTGCCGTGTTTTGTAGCGTTTTGCCGCGTTTTGCCGTGCAACGAATATTTTCTTTCGTCTAATAATATCATTTCGTCCATCGTTATATATGACATATATTTCTCTCTAATTTCGAAGAACGAACGGTACAACTCCGAGTTGCATACGTAGTTCGCCTTACGAAAACGAACGAATAAGAATAATAAAACAAAATAAAAGAAATAAAAAGATCGATATCCACTTTGTCAACGCTTTGTCGTTATATTTAGACAAGGAATAAAATAAAACGGACAGTGAAATTTCCACTTTGACGAGCGGAGCAGAGGGAACGCGAGAGGGAACGAGAAGGCAAAATCGACTAGATATTTTGTTAACCAAACGAGACTAAAAATAATAAAGAAAAACTTGGTTACACCGTCAAGAACGTTATTTTGCAACGTTGCAACGTTGCAACGTTTCAACGTTTACACGACGCGAAGAACTAATTAAATCGTTTTAACATTTAATCGTTTCTCCTATTCCAGAATGCGAGGGTCTTCCTTATTGTCCAACGAGGAAAGCCGTCTTCACCGCTCGACAACGATGTTAATACTACTATTGTTGTCCCTGCTGGTCGATATACCCGGTCTTGCAAATGGTGAATACGAATGACAACTTGTACATCACCGTAGCTTATCCGACTAGTAGTTGCCTGCAACGAATCGAATCGAATCGATCCTTTTCGTCGAGTTGACGCGTAGTAACTAAAGCGCAACAACAACAACAACAACAACAACAACAACAA